TTTGAGGTTTTTTAGTGACGTTTTGAAAAGAAAACAAAATTCATGATTGAATGCATTAAAGGATATTAACTTCTCAATCTCGATTACTATTTGTTTCAGACTTATTATCAATTAAATTTTATTTATCAAAAATGAAATTAATTGCATTACATGAAATGTAATATTATATTTTTCACATTAACAGTGAAACAAAATAAGATTGGCACCGGGATCAAGCGAAAAACCGTAACCTGAAATTAAAAAAATTAAAACAACTTCTAAAATAAGGAAAACATACATATTTTATTTTTAAAATATATTTATTATGTTAAACTAATGTAGAAAAACATATCGAAAGCAGTTTAATTGCATTAAATTATAAAATTCTACTAACGTACTCTAAAGTACTCTATCGCATTAGCGTACTCTGTTTAGTATGACCGTCATAACACCCACCCACCCCCCAAAAAAAACAACATATGATGGAATATATTATACAAACGAAACGAAAAGATCGGGAAGATCATAACAGTTTTGGGCTTAGATAAAATTATGGATATATTCAACCATAATCAGAATCCCGATCAAATTATATAAAAAAGTATTTTTTAAAAATCCTTTGAAGGGCATGTACATAAAGTTGGCTAAACTGAATTTATTACAGGTATTAAATAAAATGCATTCGATTGGGATACCTTAAATTTACCTTCCATCATAGTAGCTGCAGAACAGTAGCTCGCTGGTCTGATATAGGGGTACCAGAGAGCTACAGTATCACCCAGAAAAACCTTTTTTTGAGCAAAAAAGTTGCGTTCGGTTCCGGATTCATTTCTGCAAATCTTACCTTAATTCACATGCACTTGTTTCGTATACAGGGCATCCCCTACTTATTTTTACCACCAAATAACACCAAATAACAAGTAGGGGTACCCTGTATACGAAACAAGTGCCTGTGCCTTGCTTTAAAAACTTCCTTAGACCTCAATCAACCATACTCTATTGAGGTAGCTGCACGAAGTGTATTGCACCAAATTATTTTGCCGTCCAATATTTATTACACACTTAGTAATAAATACAGGTTTTTTGCATATGCGATATGGCTGACGTCACAATAGCCGTATCAACCCTGCAGGGCTGATATGGATTTGCGGGGCTGATATCCATATCAGCCCTGCAAATCCATATCAGCCCTGCAGGGCTGATACGGCTATTGTGACGTCAATATCACACCCTTAGTAAATTAAACCACAATAACAGTACTTGTGATCATACACAATTTTTGGTGGGTTCATATTCTCTTCATTTTAACTTGTTGAAAATAAGGTTAATCTTAATTTACAAATACATGTAATACTATAGAATATTTTCAAATTACGGATCAAATGCATTGAAATAGAAGTAGAAACAAACCCAAATCTTATGAGACATTAGACTATGTACATGTATGTAAGAAGTCCATGCATGATTATTTACTTATTTTCTTCTCAACTGAATGTGTTCTGTATTTTATTACTAAGTATGTAATAAATATAATAAAACATACCCTTTTCCACATCACATCCTGTATCAGCCCTCGACCAATATCAGCCCTCGGGCCTTCGGCCCTCTGGCTGATATTGGTGTCTCGGGCTGATACAGGATGTGATATGGAAAAGGGTATGTATTATTCTCTATATAAACAGGCGAAATTTTCGATGGTCTCAATATTCCAGGCCTATGAGGACTTTTTATTAAGGTCAGATGACATGTTCCTCAAAAATATATAATTTTTCCTAAGAATTTTTCTTTGAAGTATATGTACTTAAATAAGTTTTCACACAAAAAATTAGGGTACCTTACCAGGCATTTGGACAAGATACCACAGGGTCATATTTCTTGTATAACCTTTATGGGTAATCTTTTAAGTGGCCTATATCACAATTTTTGGTGTATTTATATTTAAAATCATTTTGAAAACAATGTAGAAATCAGAGGAGAAGGACAAATATGAATTATTTTTATATAATACCAAGAAATACAAAACATATATTTGAGGAACGTGTCATCTGACCTTAACTACAATTATAAGAATGTTTTCTTGTGGAAATAGTAAAAGAATTAATATGTTGGAAACACGGTTAGTTATACTTTTAGATTGCAGTTTAAAAACACGGAGGGAATAAATCGAGATTCAGCACACCTTTTTTTAAATAAATAAATATACAGTTTCTTCAATGGGTGGCACTGCACCCCACCAGTTTGTCAATTTTTTTTTTTGGTTGTTGTTTTTAATGGAAAGGTATGTACAGTTCTGTACTTTGTACCTTTCATGTGAGTAGTGTTACTGAAAAGATGCAAGTAAACCTTGCTAACTATAACTTGACTTAAAGTTGCACACTCTACCACTAGCTGCAGCCAGTGTAACTTCTAACAATTGTTTACGTATTCACAAAAATATGGAAAATAGATCAATATGACAAAGCTTACGACACCTGTAACAGTGGCGGGTCCAAAGGGGGGGGGGGTTACGGGGGTTGCACGCCCTTTGGATTTTCAAAAAAAAAAGAGAAAGAAGAAAGTTCCACATTTTCGTTGTGTTTTTACTATAGAAAATGTTCAGTGAAAGGCTAATGTTAAATATATAAAGAAATTCGGTTGTGAATACAAAATAAAACCCAACCCCTTTTACAAATTAGGATTTTCGGGTTCGGAGATATATTTTCCTTTCTTTTTCAAAAAATTTCAAGTAATTCATGCAAGTACTTTTTCCTAGGTTGATCAACCTCCCACTTTTAAAAACCATACTCCAGCCAGTATCCTATTGAGTTATCTAACTACTTGTATATGTGTGTAAAACGTTCGTTACAGGCACGTAGCAACAGGGGGGGGGGTAGGGCTGTATCAATATATCGATATATCGATACGTATCGATATTCAAGAAAAAAATCGTATCGAAAAGTAACTTCCAATACGTATCGGACAGACATTTTTTCTTCATATTCTGTTTAAAAGATGGGAATTTCAATCACCAAAGATTATATTTTACTTTTTTGAATTAAAACCTTCAATAATTATATAATTTCTAAGCAAATAACACAGTTTTTATAATTATTACAAAATACATAGAGAAGTTTTTTTGAACATGTTGATTTTACTGTCATCAAAAGTTTTAATTGAAGTGTTATTTTTAAAGACAATGAGACAAGAACTTTAAAATGGGTAATAAAACACTTAATCATGTTAATTGTTATGAAATGTATGCATTAAAATGATTTAGAAACCTTTTCTGATGGATTTGTTTCAGAATCCAATATATCGCATATCGTTTTAAAAAATATTGTATCGTATTGTATCGAAATTTTTGGCTCAATACACAGCCCTAGGGGGGGGGGGGGGGCAGGGGGGCCTGGCCCTTCCACTTTTTTCCCCAACACTACTTTTACTATTGCAAATGTTCATTGAAAGGCTGGTCCCCCCACTTCATACTACGAAGAAATTGATATTGAGGGAAATGTAGTGTTGAATACAAAAAATGGTACTGAAAGAAGTTGGCATTGAAAAAATTGGCTTCTACCAAAAAAGAAAAAAAAAATCATTGCTTAACGGCTGCGTAACAATGCCTCTTTTCCCCCTTCAATCCCCCCTTTGAAAAATCCTTCAACACCCCCCCCCCCCGTTTGAAAATTTTCTAGATCCGCGCCTGTGTAATCTATATCTAAAATATCTCTAAATCATTATTAATTTTAATCCCCTTAATTTATATTTGGTTATTCAATTAATCATTAGTGTAAATATTTTTTATCTGCAAAGAACAGTAAAATATGACTGATCAACTTTTAACTATATGTATATTGAAAAGGTGGGGATCCCCTTTTATTAATTGTTAATTTAATTATTATGATTTAAAAAAAAAAATCTTTTTCATATCCATGCATTATAAGCAAGGTTTTTTTGAAAAAAATTATTTTTGCCGATGTCTTTTCTTATATGACAATAGGCCTTTACCAGGTGATCCAACAGACTGGTACAATTTTCAGTCTAATTTAATTCCCTTTCAAGTAAAAGTTTGGTGTTTAATAAATATCATATGTTCTTGTTATTACCATGATTACAGGGATATGTTTTATCTAAAATCTAATTTTAAAAATATATAGACAATAGACAATAGACAATAGACAATATTTTATTTCCAATTAAGGGCCCCCAGAGAGGCATGAAAGGTATATGTGTAGACAAAGGCAATCAATAAGTAGATGAACCAAAAATACAGTAATTTGAGTTATCAATGGACAGTCGAATCCACAGCCTAAGGGCGATAACTTAAGAAATCAGTATAGGAACTCTCTTCTGTTTGAAGGTTAAAAAAGTAGGAATGATTATCTCAAGGTGTGTTGTCTGTAAGCACTTAGAATCATTAATTGCATGTTTTATCTCGTGATCTCACACGTGTACCTTTTTGTATTTGTAATTCACATTAGTTAGCGATTATAAACTATACAGTGTGTTATTGTAAAGCAGTATATGTACAATTATTGTATAATAGAGTTATATGTACAAAAAAAAAAAAAAAAAAAAAACGTCATCCAGGATATACACTCGTTGAAGCATAGTTAAATCTGATTATCTCTGACGCATTTACAAATATAGAACTGTACGGAAGTCGATGAGAACAAACATTCGTGTAATCTATTGTTTGTTTAAGAAGAAATGTTCATCTTGAAAAAAATTGAAGTGTATTGCATTCTAGCTGCAAAATATTCTAGCTCTCTTGTTGAGAAAAGTAGGATAGAAAAACCAGAGAGGTGCAGGTTCAATCATTATAAAAACTGTAATTATACTCTTCCTTGATTCTAATTCCTAAAGATGTGATATCTTCCAAAGTTAAGGGATAAATAACTGCAGGATAGATGCAATAATGCAGCCCTCTCCTTTATTTTTCACTCTACGAAAGAGAAAAATCAGAGGAGGTTAAATTATTCAATTGCAGTTTACTTCAGGGCCCTGTCATGTCCTTAAGATATTCTTATGTGGGTTAATTTTAACAATTGTCTAATGTGATGAATTTTCTTGGTTATAGAATCTAAAACTGATGATCTGGCTGTGAAATGTAATTGATGAAGGGACATGCTTCAAGCACTGAAGGCCTATGCTGCTGTGAATATGAGAACAATCAGGGAGAGAAAAGCCACATTCTGGCCTGCTGTTGTGATTGTGAAGCCTTCGATCAAGCTGCAGACAGGTGAGGATTTTATTAAAAAGTAGATGGGGTAGTTAGAACTTTAGAATAAAGGTTCCATAACCGATTAGAGTTGGTAACCATTTCTCAAACTCGCAACTCTAAACTGATTATAATTTTCAAATAATATGAGGCTTGTCAAGTTAAATGCATATATCTATGACCAGTGCTAATAAGCACTGGTTATGGATTCTTCCCTATTATACAAACACCAGACTTGTGTGTTTTGGTGAAATACATGTAAACTTGGCACAGAAGAAAGTGCCAATCTCATTAGTATATACATCTCTTGTAATATTCCTCAATGGTCTGTCAAAATGAAATAAGCAAGGGAAAAATTCAAAGAATAAAGATTAATTATAAAAAATAGATATTAACATTTTCATGAATACTTAATTTCAAAGACTAATTATATATTGTTTTAGTTTAAAAGAAATTTGTATCATATATTATTGAATAAAATAGGAAATGGTATATATGCTATGCATATTAAGATTTTACTATTGGAAATTACAGTAAAAGATTATCAACTAATTACAGGTGTATAACTTGTCAACAAGTGCCACCAGAGACAATGGAGCGACTATTCAAAACCCTCGAAGACCGCTGTCGAGTGCCAGGAATCCTGGGCCAAGGAGCCATCAAGTTACGATTGGACGTTATCGTTCCTGTGATCACCATTCCAATCTGTCTGTTCTTAGCCACCATTGGCCCAATAATGACCACATTAATGTTAACCCTGATGCCAATATTCCTGTTGTGGTTTTATCGTATGTGGAAGAGGAATACGAAAAAAGACAGGACATTGTTTTTCTACTCCTGGGGACTGATGTCTGTTGTGACTATTTTTGTTGTGTTCGAGTCGTGTGTGGTGGGTTTCCGTGAGATTCTGCTTTGGGAGCATTTGCTCCTTCTAACTGCTATGTTTCTGATGCTGTATAATTTTGTGCGAACTAAACTGAATACGCCATACCTTAAAAACTTAAAGAGGCAGAGAAACTTTGAAAAGATGAATCAGTCTGACAGGCGAGTGGGGAATGCTGATGATGCTGTCAAAGTTCCAATGAGTTTGGAAGAAATGACTGCTGGAGAATTGCCGGAGTCGGATGTCAAATGGCTGGATTCTAGGCCCATCACAGGTACCGGTATCTTACTACAGTTGAACTTTGTTATCTCAAACACTGATATCTCAAATACCAGGTGTATGTCTTAGTCAGTTGTCAGACCCAAATAATTTTTGTTTTTTACCCTCAATATCTGGAATCCTCAAATATCTCAAAGTTTAAATTTGGTCCCATCAAATACAAGGTAACAAAATTTGATTGTAGTTTATTTTAAAAATATGATATTGTATTTATAGTAAAATTTGTTATTGTATCCATATCTTGATCCCATTAAGTACAAGATAACAAGGTTTGACTGTATTTCTTTTGATTTTAGTAATTCTATTTATAGTGCAACTAATTCTGAAATAAAACTGTGTTTAACGTATAATAACCAGTTTTTGTTGAATTCTTAGTACTGGTAAATCCAACACTCCTCCGATGATTTGTATATAAAGAGGTTATCATTTTGTTTTTTAGATGGAAAACTTGTAACATGGTGTCAGCATTGTAATCTCAATAAACCGCCCAGGTCTGGTCACTGTAATCTGTGTAAAGTCTGTGTGTCTGTCAGGGATCACCACTGTGTCTGGTAAGTCAAAGAGTCTATTGTAACGTTGATGGATCCAGGAATTTCATAACGGGGGGGATGTCCCAGAAGGCAGGGGGAATGGATCTGGGCACTTCATTGAAGTCCCTAGTCCAGGGCAAAGTGGTTGTGGAGGTGACAAATTTTTTACAAATAACAGGAGGGTAAATGCTTGTAATACATACAAAATTTCAAACTCTGGCCATTGCTGGATCAATCTTTAGATAATGGATTGTTTGATTTTGATTTGGGAGTATTCCATAGAAAGTTTTCCTAGGCCCAAGTAGGCCAAAGCTGAAGTTGGATTTTTGGGAATTATCTGTTATCTATCAGTATGTTTTCAATATCTTTTTATATTTTCATCTTCTTTTTTTTCTAGAGTCAGAGTAATCATACTTAAAACTTAATAACCAATGAAAGGAGATTCAAGAATGAAAACAAGTGTAGAACCTGAAATACAACATTGGCTTAATTTGGGACCCACTAGATTATAAAAAGAACCCCCCTCTCCCTCCAAACAAAATGCATAATGATTTGTGTTGTTCTTTACAATTTTTTAATGTAATGCTTATAATATATTTTATGTTAAATTTAAGTACCTCAGTACAGTGTGTAACATTGCTAAAATAAGGGGAGGACTGGGGAAGTTTTCTTTGTTTCTCTTCCCAAAACTAAATATCTCTGTCCACAATATGGAAAGGTTTGTAAAATATTTCTAAAAGTAAAAACAAGATTTGAATATTTTTACAGGATTGACACATGCATAGGAGCAGATAATCATCGCAGCTTCTTAATATCCATGATGTTGTTTGTGTTCTGTGGTTATTATGGATGCCATCTCTCCATGACAACGCTGTGCACACCTAAGATGTATTTTGATTGGTTCTTATTTCCAAACGACTGCAGATTTCTGTACATTGACTTTCAGTAAGTTTTACAGAAAGGACATATACCTTTTCACTACATGATGAAAATTTAGATTGTTACTTTTGTGAGAAGTTTATTGAAATATTGAAAAATGATAGCTTTGGGGATAATTCAATTAAAAAATGATGTCACATGCTTTATCTTGTTAAGTAATTATTAGAATACAAATATAATTTGTGACAAGCAATTAAAGTATTTAATTTATGATGGTAAATCAAAGCACTAATTTTTTTTCTGGGGGTTTATTATGGCATGAATTGACTTACCATTCCTGTTATATCACAGTGTTAAAAGTTTTATACTAGACTATGATGTTTCTCCTTAAACCACAAAACCAAAACGTAGCTGAATTTACAGCATAACAGTTTTAGAGGTGATTTTTTTCTTTTAGAAGAATATTACAAATCAATTTTATCAATACCTCTTTCTTTTCAGGACATCTGCTAGTTTTGTTGGTGTATGCTATACATTCCTGGCCTCCACTTTTATGCTGTTTGGGTTGATATTCCAGTTCTTATTGATCAGTCAGAACTTAACTTCCCAGGAGTTCCATGTAGCCTCTCAGAGAAATATGTTAAAGCATGGTCTTTTCGCCACCAAAAATGTATACAACCAAGGCTTTATACACAATTGGTTCAATTTCTGGCTGACGGGAAGAAAAGACACTCGGACCAGTGTTATAACATTGTAATATATCACTATGTGATGTTTTCTTTTATATTTATATTTCTATACTTGTGTTTTTTCTTTTGTGTATTTTGTTACCCATTTTCCTCATCCATATCTCAATGCAATTTATGTTTGGTTGTTAAAATTCCCTCCCTTTTTTATGGGTATGGGGGAGGGGGGTAGGTGTCAAATGATATTTTAAATATTTTGTGATGCATTTATGTTTAAAAAAAAATGAAATCATCCATATTTTTATTTTTCTACAGAAGTGTTATTTTACAACCACTTTTTGATATTAGGGAAGAAATTGATTATAGTCGTATCAAATCACCTCTACGCAATAAATTAAAAATCTCTTTAATACACAGCCTGGAGTAACTATTACTGGACTGTACAGTTATACCTTAAAGCATTTTATAACTAATTGATATAAGGTTCATTAGACCATCTGAGATATCTAAGATAATTCTTAGTATTGTAAATTAATATCTAAGATTCCCTTTTATTTAAAAATTCATTTCTGTCAAAATTTTCCCTGCAAGTCTAAGTTGATAATTATTTTTTATATATATTTTTGGATTTCTTTACGAAAATCATAAGTATGAAAGCAAAATTTTATATGATTGATAAGAGGGAGATTGAGCATTAAATCTACTGGGTACACATCATTTTGGAAAGAATACTGGGATTTTTTCTTCTGTGAGACAGGGACCTATATACTAAGTATACAAGTCCTTGTGTGAGAGGACTCATTTTGACATGCATATATTATCATTTTTGGGGCATTCACCTTCTGCAATATTGTAGCTCACTTGTCTAGAAAAGGTATAAGGTCTGTTCTTTTTTAGCAAGCAAAACTGTAATGATCTTTGATCTTAATATTTAGTGAACAAAAACAAGTGTTTGGCAATTTACCCAGGTACTACCTTCTTTGGCATATAAACACAACATTTTAACCTTCCCTGCTGGGCTCTCAGTCACTAAGAAAGTCCACAGGGAAAATTTTTGTTTATAAACTTAGACTGACTGAGAATGGGGCATTTTTCCTATTCTTCATAATTAAAACGTTCTGTTTTTTCCTTTTTTTATCAACTCTCTTTGACTTGTAATCTGTAATAAAATTTCTAGAACATATTAAATTTATCTTGCCTTGGGTGTTGTACATTTACATGTAACTGAAATCCTTAATTTCTGAAGTTATATTTATAGCTATATTATCTTATTTTTCTTTCATTTAAATAGCATTTAAATATGATTTTTAGTTGATGTTAGTTGGCATCACCTAAAGATGGTGTTTTTAATCATATAAATACTGATTTCAAGCACGGATTTGACAACAACATAAGACTACCAGTGATTACATTGGTTACATTTATTTTTATAATGACAATGCAGAAATATGATTACACTGGCACAAATTAACTTCATGCCATCATTTGTTTTGTTTAAAAACTGAATGAACATTCAGAATTATAGGCTATTTCAGCAAAGATCACTCTTCAAAAAATAAAAAGCAAAATGATGAGCATGAAAAATATTTATTTGTACAATTTATGCCTAAAAGATATTTTTTTAGTGTAGGTACCTGATTTCATTTAAGGCTTATAATAGACATGTATATAACATGAAAGATATCGATAATCCAAGCGTTAAACAACACGCGCGCAATGCTACCGCTTTTGAGGTCTGAATCTCCCTCTTTTTCATCACAATAGGTTAACATGTATGTTTAAATAGCATTTAAATATGATTTTTAGTTGATGTTAGTTGGTATCACCTAAAGATGGTGTTTTTCAAGATAAACCTGATTCACTGACTGCCCATATTCATACATTTATTTTTATAATGACATGCATATCTACACTAAATTAACTTCATATGGTGGAAATCTTTGAAAATAAAAACAAATCTTAGTGCCAGATTTTTTTGAGACTTGAATAAGAAGTACCCCGGGTATTCCTTTCAAAGAAATTGATTGCAAAGAATAAAATTCAAACTGTATGAGAGAAATAGCACAGAAATGTATCAGGTACCTAGAAACAGTCCTTAAAATACAAAAAATACATTTTTCTATAACTTTGAGACACATGATTCTATTCTGCATAATTTCAGTCATATCACATATTAAAAAAACCTATTTATTGGATTTACAAGATAAAAGATTTAATGTTGATAAAGAGTTATTCCATTTGGCCTACCTTTTCTTGTCTCTTTAAAAGAGGAGTTCTCACATGGGAGATAACTAAAAATGGCTTTTTGTTTTTCACTGTCATGCAGGGTACAAATATGAGTAGGGTACATCTTTTTTGTACCTGTACTTTGCAATACAATTTGGCTGTTATAATTTGTTACATGCACATATTTCTGCCATCTAGAAAAGATGTGTATGGTAGTTTCACTTTGTAAGTGTCTATAGCTGGTCATTTCCTTTTCAAGAAAATTGCAAGTCACCTGTAATGTTAAATTTAACTCTTGTATGCTTATGTTTTATGATTGCCATAACAACTTGCAATGCTTTTTTTTTTTATTATTATTAACTATTGAAAGAAATGTTGCATAATTAGTTTGACTGACTTTTTGTCAGAGGTTTTTACTTAGAATATAATTAAAGATTGCAATGAAATGTTACTTGTATGGATGATATGCATGTGAACATGAATATATTAAAACATAGTTTTATTGCATTGTATGATACTTACATGTATAATTGAATCCTTCTCAAAGAAGATGTTTTGAACCATAACGCACTCTGTTGAGATAATTTCTCTACTTTCCAGCATTGGTCAATCAACTATCTTTTACTTCCTAATCCTAGAAACATTATTTAACCAATCTGTGTATTTTATCCACCTCCCAACCAATTATAGTCGTCTCTACAAGCGGAAAAAAAACTTGATTCAAATTTTTTGGAGGAAGGAATCGAAAAAATAATTCAAATCAAGCTAGTTTATCCCCTGTAAATACGACTATAAAGGGTTGGGATGTGGATTAAATATACGATTTGTTAAAGAATGTGTCTTGAATTAGGAAGTGAAAGGTAGTTGATTGACCAATGCTGAAAAGTCGAGAAAATCTTCTAAACAGTTCACAAAAAAATCGTGCGCCATAAATTGCACATTTTTTGCACTAAGGGATCTGCACCTTTATGGTCAAAGACTAATGAATAAAATCATAATGCTACAGTTCTGCAGCTAGATATATTTGTAAATATTTTGTATGTCATATTTCATACTCTCATTAAAAGTCATCAAAGATACCTAAATACATGTATTCACAAGTAAATTTGGTGTTACCAGAAAAGCATCAATTTGCAAAGCTAGTCATTGCATACATAATTATATATTGGAGATTTGGTTTCATATCAATGCCCATACAAGCATGTGCTTTATTTATTGTGTGCTATATAGTAATGATGGCTTGGATTCTGCTGAAAGTGACATTTGCTCATACTCATTGTACTGTTGTATTTAGTGTGATTATCAAAAAGATAAATGCTATTTTAAATAGTCCTCAATGAATTTGCTTTCTATTTTTGGCCAAAGCTTGCCAAATCAATTTGCATTACTTCAAGACTTTTGTTTTTCAATCAATTACAAAGTCTTTGTATGCTAAATCAGTCTAAACTAGAACTGTCCAAACATGACAAAATACCACCCGCTGGGTTTTTCAGAAGTAAGTTTTTCCATAATAAAGATATGTATCAAACATGAATTATGAAATATTTATTTCAGTGACCTTGAACTTCCCCAAATAACCTTGGGTCAAGGTCATGACACACCCTTGGGTCATGGGCAATCTTTTAGTGAAATGAAAATCTACCAAGTTTATCCATAAGAAAGATATGGACCGGACTTGAATTATGAAATTTTTATTTCAGTGACCTTGAACTCTCCCAAATAACCTTGGGTCAAGGTCATGACACACCCTTGGGTCATGGGCAATCTTTCAGTGAAATGAGAACCTACCAAGTTTATCCATAAGAAAGATATGGACCGGACTTGAATTATGAAATTTTTCTACCAGTGACCTTGAACTTCTCCAAATGACCTTGGGTCAAGGTCATGACACACCCTTGGGTCATGGGCAATCTTTGTGTGAAATGAGAACCTACCAAGTTTATCCCTAAGAAAGATATGGACCGGACACGAATTATGAAATTTTTCTTCCAGTGACCTTGAACTTCCCCAAATGACCTTGGGTCAAGGTCATGACACATTCTTGGGTTATGGACAATCTTTGTGTGAAATGAGAACCTACCAAGTTTATCCATAAAAGATATGTATCAAACATGATTGATGAAAATTTTCTTCCAGTGACCTTGAACTTTCCACAATGACCTTGGGTCAAGGTCATGACACACCCTTGGGTCATGGGCAATCTTTGTGTGAAATGAGAACCTACCAAGTTTATCCATAAGAAAGATATGGACCGGACACGAATTATGAAATTTTTCTTCCAGTGACCTTGAACTTCCCCAAATGACCTTGGGTCATGAGCAATCTTAGTGTGGAGTAGTAGATTCTAATGTCCCTCTGTAAGAAAGATATGGACCGGACACGATTGCACAGACAGACAGACAGACGGACGGACGGACGGACGGACAGCTAGACAGACGGACAGACAGACAGACGGACAAGGTGATTCCTATATACCCCCCCCCCCAAACTTCGTTTGCGGGGGGTATGATAATGAATGAAGATTCTAGCCTGACTGCAAAAAAGTGTTGCATTGCACAAAGCGAATGCATCACCCGTCTCAAGTTCTTTACCAATCTGCTAAGGTTTTAGACCTCAACATTAACCCTGATACTGTAAATCACCTTTTTTTCGTGAGAACTTTATTTTTGTTTAATTACGTGAGATAATGTGCTCTTGAAAATTTAATACTCACATGTAATAGTATTCCTTAGGATTAAATAGAGCAATAACCACAATTCATGAAAATTTTCTCTCGTTTATCAAAACTCAATAACTATGAGGTGTCGCGAAAATTTAGTGATCCTCGGTATTTATCCCAAATATTTTCAAATTTCTTTACATTGATTGAAGCTTTTTTTGAAAGAAAAAAGAATGCAGGTAATGCAAATATTTAATATAAATACCATTTATCTTATTCAAAAAGTTATCAGCAGTTTTTAGCTCACCTGAGCCGAAGGCTAAATTGAGCTTTTCTGATCACATTTTGTCCGGCGTCCGTCTGTCTGTAAACTTTTCACATTTTCGACTTCTTCTCAAGAATCACTGGGCCAATTTCAAGCAAACTTGCCACAGAGCATCCTTGGGTGAAGGGGATTCAAGTTTGTTCAAATGAAGGGCCACGCCCTCATTCAAGGGGAGATAATTGAGAATTAATGAAAATTTGGTGGTATGTTTTAAAAATCTTCTTCTCCAGAACCACTGTGCCAGGAAAGATGACACTTATGGGGAAACATTCTCAGGTAGTGTAAATTCAAATTTGTTCAAATCATGACCCCCGGGGGTAGGGCGGGGCCACAATGGCCGACCAAAGTTTTACATAGAAATATATAGGAAAATTCTTTAAAAATCTTCTTCTCAAGAATAACAAAGCCATAATCGATCATATTTATATGGAAGCATCCTCAGGTAGTGTAGATTCAAATTTGTTCAAATCATGACCCCCGGGGGTAGGGCGGGGCCACAATGGCCGACCAAAGTTTTACATAGAAATATATAGGAAAATTCAATAACAAAGCCATAATTGATCATATTTATATGGAAGCATCCTCAGGTAGTGTAGATTCAAGTTTGTTTAAATCATTATCCCCGGGGGTAGGGCGGAGCCACAATGGCCGACCAAAGTTTTACATAGAAATATATAGGAAAATTCTTTAAAAATCTTCTTCTCAAGAATAACAAAGCCATAATTGATCATATTTATATGAAAGCATTCTCAGGTAGTGTAGATTCAAATTTGTTCAAATCATGACTCCCGGGGGAAGGGCGGGGCCACAATGGCCGACCTAAGTTTTACATAGAAATATATAGGAAAATTCTTTAAAAATCTTCTTCTCAAGAATTACAAAGCCATAATTGATCATGTTTATATGGAAGCATCCTCAGGTAGTGTAGATTCAAGTTTCTTCAAATTATTATCCCCGGGGGTAGGGCGGAGCCACAATGGCCGACCAAAGTTTTACATAGAAATATATAGGAAAATTCTTTAAAAATCTTCTTCTCAAGAATAACAAAGCCATAATTGATCATATTTATATGAAAGCATTCTCAGGTAGTGTAGATTAAAGTTTGTTCAAATCATGACTCCCGGGGGAAGGGCGGGGCC